GGGTGGGGGACAGGGGCAGAGGGAGGGGACAGGCGGCCGGCTGCCCATCAGTGGGCGCAGAGGTCCGGCGAGCCCCACGCCGCTCGGCTGGGAGGCTTTTCTCTGACATTTTTACTAGTCTCGGAAGGAGGAGGAGGTGGAGGTGGAGGAGACCGAGGGGGGCAGAGAGGGGCTGGGGGACAAGAGGCGAGCGGCTGCTGGGCCTGGGCGCCCTGAAGAGAGGAGGCGCGGGACCCACGGGCGGCAGGGCCGGCGGGGCAGGACAGACGGCAGACAGACGGGGGGCGTCAGAGCCAGAGAGGGGCCGGGCACCCACAGGGGACAGGGGCGCAGCGGCAGAGCCAGCGAAGGAGGGAAGGGGCGAGGGCCCAAGGGGCAGGGAGTCCGCAGACGGAGGCTGCCAGACAGGGGCCTTTGAAGAAGCGGCGGCTGCGTCCCCAGGGCTGAGGTCACGCCAGGTCACAGCAGCGGCGGCGGCATGAGTGGCCTGATGCTCCTGAGGCGGAATCCCAGCAGACAGGGCCTGGACGGCCTCCTGAGGTAGGTGGGCACGGAGGGCAGGCGTGCACGAGGCGCCGCCCCTGCTCTGGGCCCTGGCAGCCGCCGCGCCATCCTCCTCCCACCTGCAGCGCCGCTCCCGCTCCCAGACCCTCGCCCTGGCCTGGGGTCCCTGCCCGGCTCCGTGCCCCAGGACGCAGAGCGCATCCTCAGCGTGGCCTTGGGCCTCTCCTGTGGTCCTGCTGACCCCCGGGGACCATCCAGTCCCCCCCTACTCTACAGAGGATGAAACGGCCTTTCAGTTGCTTTTACCAGCCTGGCCTTCGCTCGACGGCCCTGCATGGGGCCACCGCGGGGCCACAGCGAGTGCTCACGCCCGCTGGGGCTCGGGCCAGTGTGGCCTTCTCTCTCAGCCTGTTTCCTCCTCTGTAAAGAAGTGGTGTTGTGGCACCTGCCTCAAGGGGTCTTGGGGACAGATCAGAGCACAAAGGGCCCGAGGCTGCTCAGAGCCACATGGGCTCAGAGCCGCCACTCCGTGCCGGCAGCCACTCACTGTCTCCCTCTGAGCCATCTGGGATGCTCTTCCCCCTCCTCAGCCCTTCCAGGCTTCCAAGGTCCAGCTGCAATGCCACCTCCTCCACGAAGCCTGCCTTGGCTTCTCCCTAGCTGGGAGGGGGTCCTCCTCTGCCAGCCCAGCTTCCCTGATTTCTGCCTCCCTCCAATGACAGGGAGCACGCTGGCCAGACCTCAGGCTGCTAGAGGGTGGGACTGGCATGGCAGCCCCTTTTGTCCACCCAAGCCCTGGCACTGGGGGACTCTGGGAGGGGAGGACAGGCAGGGATGCGCATAGGGGGTGGGCTCAGCAGGGTCTGAGTGGAACTGGGAGCAGCCCTGGTGCTCCCAGCTCCAGCCGGCTGGGTCTGTGCCCATGTAAGAGGCGGCTCTCTTGGCATGGTCCCGGCTGCTGCTACAGGAGCAGGCCGAGCACCAGGGTTTGAGGGCGCTGCTGGGCAGGCTCCCTTGCAGTCTGACCCTCCCCCAGGGCCCCATGACTCACCTCCTCCTTCTCAGGCCCAGCTTGGACCTGCCCAGGTGCTGCTGAACAGGCCCCCTCAGGCGGGGGCCCCATGTCTCAGACCAGGCTGCCCTCCCTGCCAGGCTGCGGTGTGTCCCCCCCAGGGGACACCTTTGGCCCCAAGGATCTCTGTAGCCTAGGAATTGAGGAGCACCTGGCATCAATCCAGGCTCACCAGTGCCACTTAACAAATGGGGAAACTGAGGCCCAAGACAGGGAGCACAGCACTCCAGGGACTGCAGGAAGACCCCAGGCCTGGCTGTCTCTGTACAGTCCCTTGTCACAGGAGGGCCTAGCTGGAGCTTCCATCCAGCAGTGGCTTTGGCTCCGCTCCCAAGCCCAGGGCCAGGTTGCTATTCCAGCTGAGCAAGCGGCACCCAGGAGGCACCAGCGGGGTGCAGAGGACGCGGCTCCAGCTTGGCCATGGGTGGGGGGTCAGGCTCTATGAAAGCCCCGAGGACCTGGGCAGGAGGCAGGTGGGAGGGCAGGGTGGGAAGCAGGAAGAGTCCCCTACGAAGAATAATAGAAGCGTGTTCGTCCTGACATAGTGAGGAAATCCAAGGTGAGCTACACATGGTGAGGCTCACAGGCGTACACCAGCTTACACACCCTCGCGGACCCTGACCCGGTGATGCAGCCGGGGGCCACTGCACACACGCACACACGCCACCACCCTGATGTCCTAACCGCGGTCTGCATCTCTACAGCATCCAACAGTTTTAACTTCCCTAAGCCCTAGAAGACAGCCCCCTCCCCCTTTTCTGTTTGACAGATGAGAAACCAGGCTCAGAGATGTTAAGCGACCTGCCCAGGGTTACCCAGAAGGGAGCGGTGAGCCCGCCTCTAGCTCACTTGCATCACTCCAGATCCTTTCCAGAGACCCCTGGGCTCTCCCACCGTGCCCACGTGCAGGGCCAGGAAGGGGGACGCCACCAGCAGGGCGCCATCTTCTCTGTGACAAGCTCTGGAGGGGCACGCTGGGGTACAGCTGCAGCCAGGGTATAAATCAAGTGTGGTCTAAGCTCATTGGAAATGATGCTCTGAGCCAGGGAAGGATGTGTCCCCACCCCACCAGTTCTCCTTGTCTGAGTCGGGGTGTGAGTCTGGTGGTGGTGTGGGGCCACCAGACACCATTTTCTCGGCCAGCACCGGGCCTCAGGCTGGCAGGGCTGGACCCAGGGCTGAAGCGCCCCAACACCCCCCACATCCTTTTGCCTGACCTGGGTGACCCAAGGCTCTGCCCAGGCCCACCTCCGGCCAGGCCAGGGTTAGGATGGTCAGGGTACCCACGCTCTCCCTTCTGGAGGTCACCCCACTCAGCTGCCTGCCTGATCCTATAGCACTTGAGGACCGGGAATGAGAAGCGCACCTCACGGGCTGGCACGGAGCAAGGGCTAGGCATCCCCATCAGGGCCTTGATCCCCGCGTCTGGCTCCTGCTGAGGCTTGGGTGGTGTGAACCCCGTCTGTCTGTCCCATGGGTCTCAGGCACACATCTGCCCACAAACACATGGACACCCCCGTGCTCGGCTCTCCCTGAGGCTACAAGTCCCCCACTTGCAGGAGCCCACCCTGAGTAGCCTGGCCAGGAGGCCTCTGGGGACACTGGTGTGGCCAGCAGGGCAGAAGGGGCTGGCCCCGAGGGGGCTGGAGGAAGCCAGGCCTCCAAACCACAGTGTCCAAAGGGGCGTGGCCGCCGCAGGCCCATCCAAGGCCCCAAATCCTGAGGGTGGGGTGGCCCCCGCCCTGGCAGGACCGGGTGTCTGGTGGGCGGCCCTACCGAGGGCCCGGGTGGTCTGTCAGCCAGAGCCCATCCAGCCCCGGGAGCTGGGCCGAGCCAGCAGCAGGGGGTCCAGGGACCGAGTGGCCCAGCCCCCTGGGCAGGGTGTCAGGGCTGCAGCCCAGAGGACTGAGGTTCAGGCTGCAGTCCCAGCCAGCACATCGGAGCTGGGCAGAGCGGCGACAGAGCGGCAGCCAGGGTGCCCGGGCACCTGGGGACTCGCCTGCCTGATGCCCCTGCTAGAGACTCGAGGGGGCACCCTGAGGTTCCTGGGCCCCTCGGGATGGCTGGAGGGACCACAGCCCCCAGGGGCACGGCATCAGGCTTGGAGCGGCTCAGCAGAGGTTGGTGACCAGGGGCTGAGCACAGAGGTCTGCACAGGGCAGGTGGGCACGAGTGGCAGCAGGTGGGAGCTTGGGCGTGAGGAGCCCTGGGGTGGCCCCTGGGTGGGGGCGTCAGGGAGAAGGATGCGGTGCCCCCCCCCCAGGAGGCATGAGAGTGGTCATAGTGTCGGCTGCCCGCCATGACGGGCAGGGAGGTCCCCAGGGGAGCTTGAGGTGCCGCTGGTGCCAGGGTGCTGGGGCATGAGGTTCTTCCTCCCAGAGCACGTCCTACCAGGCAGGACAGGGAAGAGGGAGAAGGTGAGGAAGTGAGGGGGCACGAGGAGAAGCGGAACAGCCAGGGAGGGCCCATGAGGGCAGAAAGAGAGGGCAGGGGAGGGCACGGGACGGTGCGCGGTGACAGGAGGGCTCGGGCGCGAGGGGGTGCTGCGAGGAGTCTGGGCGCTGCGGCAGATGCGGACAGAGGCCAGAGAGGCCGAGTGGGCCCACAGGGACCAGCACTGTCCGGTCCTGCTCTCCGGTTCCCCAGAGAGATGGGGAGGAGGGGGAAGCATGAGGAGGAGGATGGAGGGAGGCGCCGGCTCGTGCCCGGGACCCCCTGAATCAGGACGTTGTCCTGGCACCACCTGGTCTCCCCACACCCGGTTCCCAGGGGATGTGGGGCTCACACCTGGCCACGTCACCCACTCATCAGGGCCCCTGGCTGCGCTGCTGCACCTCTGAGCCTCAGTTTCCTCGTTTGTCGTGGCGATGGCAGGAGGACTCCCCAGGCGTGATGTGAGGACCCAGGTGCTGGCTGTGTGGGCCTAACTCTACCCTTCTACTTGGGACCCCAGGGACAGACGGGGACGGGTCCATTGGCCATGGCCACTGTGACATCCTGAGTACATGAGGGTCTCCCTGGGCACTGAGGCTAGGAGGGTTCAGCGGTTGGCTGAGCGTCCCGGGGCAGGCAGCAGGGTCTGCAACTTCAGAGGACATGCGGCCAGAAAGCCTCCTGCAGGAGACGGAGCTGGGACTGTCCCTGGGCTGGCTCCTTCTGTTCCGCAATGCATCCTCTGCATCCCCAGGAATGATCAGTCCCAGCGGGCTTGAGGACAGGTGAGAGGTTCCAAGGAGGGGCTGGTAGCCGGACAGGGCATCCAGGGCTCTGACGGGCAGAGACGGTGTGGAGGCACCAGGCAGAGGGTCAGTTGGCTCAGAACTGGAGGCTGGAAAACTGCAGCGTATTCGGGCACCAGGGGCTCTCCTGAGGGCAGTGCTGGGAGCACACAGGGTCCAGTGCCAGGCCCCGGCTGCAGCTCCTGCCCAGGTGGGCAGCCAAGTCTGGACAGTGCGAGAGCCTCTGCCTGGTAGGAGGACAGGAACCCTTTGGGCAATGTCTGTGGGCAGAGCCATGAGCTAGGCCTTCGGGGACATGAGGCAGATCTGGGTACAACCGGCCAGGAAAGAAAGATCAGAGGGGTGGCAGTGCCTCGAGCCAGTGCCAGCGACCAGTCGCGTGTCCCAGAACGTGCCAAACCTTGCCTCGTGAGCATGGTGAGAGCTCTGCCAGGGCAGTCCCAGCCAGCTCCAGAGCCTCAGCTCTCTTGCGGGGCCATCCAGCGTGGAGAGGAGACGTAGCTGGCCTGGTGGTTGGGGTGCCGTGGGCATCCTCCGGGAGACTGGGCACCAGGCAGGGCAGTGTGTGGACACCACAGAGGCAGGTGGCTGCTGTGAAGGGTGCTGATGGCAGAGCGCGGGCACTGGGAAGTTCTCCCGGGCTGCTGCACACCTGGCCTTGTCCCCTGTGGGGCTGTGGCCAGTGACACCGGAGGGTAGCAGAAAGACCCACGTAGGCAGCAGGC